CATAATCACCTATGCTTTACAGGAAGTGAAATGCAGGAGTAGCTTTACTAAACTATTTTCTGGAATTCTTCTTTTTGTAAGGCTTCAATTTCCTCTTTGATTAGTCAAAGTAGCTGTACTACTCACTCTGCATACAAAATAAAGATAACATGTTGTTCTAGTTAAGGAGTTCTTGTATATTAATTACTTATTATTGCTAACTGGAATATTATTAAGTACTTATTATTATAAAATACATATTATTAAATACTCGTTATTTTTAACTGGAGTGCACCAATTATACTTCCTTTGATTGATTAAGAAGAATGTCATTAATTTAATTTTGTTCTCTGTGTCCCAGGTAAACTGACATCTATGTATTTTCTACACTTTGCTTATATTCCTTCTTTTACCGCTTCTTCTGATTGACTACATAGGTTATTCCAGTCTTATTAAGTTCCTTTCTAATAAGAAGCCTTCACTATTCTCATTTTCCCCTTTGAGTCATATCTTTTTCTGTTATGCTTAATTATTTTTTTATTATGAGGTGGCCAGAACTGAACCTGTATTCAAAAAAACCCCCAACATTTAGAAGAATAGTTGATTAAATTTTCATGAGCTATGCTGTTTTTCAAGATAGATTCATAAATGTTCATAACCCATCATTGTAAGGCATGAATATATATTAATACAGGGTAAAATGTTTCTGAGGATACCAATTATCAGTTAATGAACTATTCATGATGATTATGAGATAGTTCTTCTGCACTATTCTCTTGGCATTAGCAATATAACTCACATAACATTAATATTATAAGCATTGTGCTGCAAACATGTCTCCATTTAGACTATTTTTTTGTTTGTAAAAGTACCTGATAACATAGAATCATAGAATGTCAAGATGGAAGGGACCTGTAAGGATCATTGAATCCAACTCCTTAGTTGGACTTTAGGACTGCCTAAACCTAAACCATATGACTAAGAGTATCGTCCAGACACTGGTGGAACTCACAAGTTTTGTGCTGTATCCTCTTCACTGGAGAGCCTGTTCCACTGACTGACCACCTTGTCAGTGAAGAACCCTTTCTAATGTCCAGTCTGAACATCCTCTTACAGCTTCATTCCATTTCCTTGTGTTTCCTTGTGAGAGAGATCAGCACCTCCCCAGCCACTGACTCTGCTGAGAAAGTTGTAAACTGGGATTGGGGTCACCTCTGAGACACCTTCTCCAAGCTGAACAAGCCAAATAGGCTCAGGTGTTGCCTCCAAGACATGCCCTTGAGGTCTTTCAGCATTTTAGAGTCATAGAACTGTTTAAATTGCAAAAGATCTTTAAGGTCATCTAATCCAACCAATTATCTAGCACTGCCAAATCCATGTCCCCCATGCCTTATCTGCCCTGCCAATTCCTCCTGAAGAGCCTGCAACCAGCCCTCATGGCAAACCAGTCATAGGACTCATGTCAGCAGGTGCTTATGCCAGTGGTGCCATAGCTGTAGGACTGGAACAAAATTTCTAGCTTCTCTTGTTTTTTCAAGTGTTCTCAGCATATCATGGAGCAGTCTGAAGCACCTCATTAATATACCATCTCTCAAACACTGATTTTTCTTTAGTGACCCTGCTTTTACCCCTTTCCTGCTTCAAATCTAGTTAAAAGCCCTTTCAATGAACCCTAGCTCCTGTGCAAAGATCCTTTATCCTTGGTGTACCCTGCCTGTTGTCAGCAGGCTTAGTGTCCTGTATTCCATCAGTGACCAAAACCTACAAAATTCTGCTGGTGACACTAGGCACAGAGACAGGCATTGATTTGCTAAGCATTTCTGTTTCTTCCATTATCGTTCCCTGCTACTTAAAGGATAGAGGAGAACACTAATTATCTTCTTGACCTTTCAGTGAACCTTTGTAAGTGACCACAAATTTTTATCAATTTGGTGCCAAATTAGTAATTTCATTATCCATTTTTAATTACTGAAATGAATGCCTCATGTTAAATTCAACATAAATATGTCAATGGATTTTGATTAACAAGGTTATGAATTTAAAGAGAATGTATCTTCTTTTTGTGGGTGGCTTCCTATAGGGATTACTTGGAGTTGTGGACGGGAGTTTCTACTCTCTGCTTATCCTTGATAACAATGTTTATCAAGACTGACTAGGATGTCAAGAAAGATTTGCCAAAATATATTTTCTTTCAAACATGTGTTTCAAACCTCCTCCTGAGGCAGTGTCTATCTGGATATTATAAAACTATTAAAATTTGACAGCACACTGAATGTGCCTGTGTACTTGTAGTAGATTAAAAAGTAATGCTGGCAAAGTACATCAGTAGTATCCAGAAAATCAGTGTCAGTTCAAAAGGCAAACTGTACGAAAATTAAAGGCAATCAAAATTATTATTACTGATCATTTAAATACTGCTGTAAACACATAGTTAAAAAGAAGTTTTTATTCAGTATGAAATGTGTACTCTGTGAATCAAGTCCAATTCTTTCTAATAAATGAAAGAAATTATTTCATTTGATACTATTGAATAGTTTTTTGGCATCTATTCGAAAGACCACAGTTGCAATTGTATATCATTTTGTATTGATGTATTAAGCATTATCTTGTATTATTAAATGTAAATACAACTTTATAAAATTGGCTTATTCCCTCTAGATGGTACCTAGGAAAGTCCACTTTAAGGAATTATTTTGTAGTGACTATTAAAAAAAATTTGATTTCCAGCTCTTGCATACATCAGTGGTTTGTGGGGTTTCCACAAACTTATTATTACCATTAATTTCTGGAATGATTGCTGTGTGTCAGAATTAACTAGAAAAGCTTTTGCTGCAATTGAGATCTGACATGGTTTGAAAAGTGGAATATTAGGAATTAGGCATTTCTCTCTAAAACTCTTGTTTATGAAAATCTCTCTTCACTGTTTTTTTCTACAAGTGAAAATAACTTCTTTTTAGTTCTTCTAAAATAAAAAAGAACTTCTTTTCTTTTTATCAACAGTGATTTGGCTAGATAGGCTTAAGGAAAAAAAAAATCTCTATTTTCCCTGGTTAAGAACTCTTGAATTCCCTGCTCTTATCTATGAAACAAGTGCTGTGCCACTGCATGACAGAATAGGCAACCTACTTTGCCAAGATAGTGATATTATAAATATTGTACCAGGGAGAAAGGAAACACAGTGGAATAACACTTAATAATGTAGTATATATTTAGTTCAGTAATACAGTCATCTGCTTATGGCCAGGAGCCAAACAGGGTTCTTGCTTGGCTCGGTTCTAGTTACTACTTTGAAGATCATCAATGCATTTCTGCCAAACTAGATGCTAATGTAATCAACAATGCATCAACACTTTTGCAAAACCTGTTTAGACACCACTGCTCCATGCAGATCCATCAAAGAAAAGAGGAAATCTACAGGTTTCCCTCTGGGATAATAACTCATATTTTTTGCCAAATGGTTACTGGGTATAATAACTGATCAGCCAGTGAGAGGATGTGAATCCCCTCTAGTCATCTTTGCTTTCTCAGTATAATGTAAACACTGGGTATATAAAAATGGGCATTGATATTTGTATTTACAGCTGTGTTTGACCTTAATTGATTTACCTGTACTTTGCAGACATCCTTGTCCTTAAGATTAATACCAGTTCTGATCAAAGGACTGCTGGTCAAACATAAACCTCAAGAGAGGGAAATTGTGGAATATGACTTGGATTAAATATCTTCTACATTTAGGCCAAAGAAAGAAGATGCCCTATAAGTGGATCAAAACACTAGCAGGTATTTGCTCTGAAGCAAATTCTGGTCTCCTAGGGCAATTTTTTTTTAGCGAAACATCTATGAATTTTACTTCTTGAGGATTTGTATAGCAATTAAGTGGAGTTGAGATTTGAGACAGCAGTTTATGTTTTGAGATAAAAATCCTTTCTGAGTCACCCTGTTCACATCCTGCTTTAAATTGCGTACCAGATTTTTTCACCTCACCCTGTATGAAACAGACAAAACTAAGAGACTGTGGTACTTTACATGAACATTACAAACTCCGTGTTAGGCTTAAGCTGGTTAGTCCTGATTCAAGATCTGCAGAACACACTGTCTCAGTATGCTACCTTTTTCTATATGACTCCTGGGAAGTTCACAGTGATGGCAAAATATATTCATGTCTTTCTGAAATATGACTTGGAGTTATGCTTTCAGGTGAGTCTGGTCTAATTCATCAGATGGGGTCAATCCTGCACAATTCTTTGAATGAAATTGACCAAGAAACCCAGCAAGAGTCATTAAATTCCCCAAACCATGGAAAATCAAGGACTATCATGCTTCCTGTTAGAGCTTAGAAGAACTTCAGTGTGGTTCGCAATTGCTCATCAATTGGTAGAGCAATTTCCCAATCAGTCTTTGAGTTAGCAGTGCTCTTTTAACACGGCCATTATCCTCCTAGCAGCAGTTGCAGTTTAAGCCAGTAAGAAAGTGTCTTTTGGCTGTCAGAGTAGTAAAAAGGGGTTACAGAAGAATTAAAATCAAGATTCAGATTCATTTCAGATAGTGATGAGGGAAGCACACATGACAAAAAGCAGTAACAAGTAATAGGAGAGGCAGAAAGGGAACAGACAGAAAGCCTATGAGCACTGGGTCTGCCAGTTTTAAGACTTTAAAGTATTTGGAAGGCAATGATATCGCATAGGGTGTTATGACTGCTGCTAGGGTGTCTTAGTCCAGCATCACAAGGGAGATATTCAGGAAGGTATCTGTTCTGAATAGAATTTTTTAAATGTTGTGCTATTATATGAAAAAAAAAAAGCAATAGTGTTAGTAAGAGAGTATTATTAGCAATATCAACCAAATTGTTGTCCACTGCCCAGCCTCCCAGAACAGAAATTTCAAACCTCTATTATGCAGACGTAACACATCTAGTGTTGTGCATATGGTTGTATATATTTGAAGCCCATGTCATAATGCCAACACCTCAGGCTGGATAGATCAGACAGCTGCATTCACAGAGAAGGTAGGTATGTCACAATATGACTCCAAAGAACAGGAATACTACACCATTTTCTTCCTACTCCTGTTTAGATTCTTTGTGAAAGACCGTATTTTTGTTTCTTCCCAAAGCAATACGTCTCTTGAGTCTGGTAAATATCTCTCCTGCATTAGTCAAACCAGACCAAGTCAACCAACTTTAGCTGATGTTGAATGCTGTAAAAGCTTACATGTAACCTGAAAATATGAATTTTTGAAGTGTCATAGTCAAATTGATATCTACCTCGTTATTTAAATGCAGGTTTGTGATAGTTTTCACCCTAGGCCTTCCTGGAGACCAGCTTGTTACCAGGAAGGAACTAGGAAGGTGACCCAGGAAGTATTCCACGCTATTCCTTTACGTAACCTGAGGTACAAATAAGGCATAGATAAGAGAGCTTGCTCTCTTCCTTTCCAGTAAGGTTTGAGAACGGTGGGTCCCTGCCTCGGTCTTGCTTATCTGGAGCTGAGGCCTGCAGTGACTGCTGATGTCTGCCACGTGTGAGGGGAGGGTGCTGGGCCGTGTCCAACCATCCTGCTTCTCTCAAGGGAAGTGGTGAGATTTTGCCTGTTCTTTATTTTGCTGGTTTACCAGATATTTTAGATTGTGCATACCTGTTTTGCTTCTGTCCCTTTTCATCCTTTTTTTGTCTTTTTTTCCCTTCTCCCTTCCCCTCTTCCCTTTTAGGAAGCTATTTGGGGTTTCTGGGGTTATAGGTATATAGTATTCTCACTGTATATATCTGTTTTATACGTAAAATATATATTTTTGCTATAGCTTTGGCTGTTTGGTTTTTCCTTTTTTTTTTCTTCTCTCTTTGGGAAACAGGCTCTGTTGTCGAGTTTCGGAGACTTGGCGGGAAGCCAGCTCCAAACTTGCACAAGGTTACAAATAGGTGGCTTCAACTACTGCGTTTGCATCTCTTTGTTGTTGTAAGTTCTCCTGCATCTTCCCATTTTTGACCACGCTTTCTTCCTATGCTCTCATACAGAAGACGTACATTAATGATCAGGAAGCTGACCAATTTACTTCTCTGTGGAAGCTATGAAATGGACTTTAAAAGTCACAGCATGAACCATGGATTTCAAAGTGGTCTGTACAAGCTGTAGGGGTCCACTTGTGCACATCTTACAATCGGACTCTAGCTCAGTAAGTTGAAATTAATCTTAATGACAGAAGGAAGAGAGGAGAGTTATGTCTGCTATACATGGAATATTGGGGCTTTGATTTTAAGAAATAAGGAATATAAATTATTTTGTCTATACCTTTAAGATGAGAGAGAAGGATCAAGTGTGTTCAGAATCATGTTCCGCAAGCTCAACCTATTTTGTGGCTTGTTTGCTTTATAACTCAAACTTCTGGAAATGCAGGGTGAAAGAGCCAAACGGGCATCAATTCCATTCAAAATGTCCATCTGTTGCTGCAAAACCTATATGAATTGTAACATAGCAACCTGTATTTCCTCTTGTAGTTGGAATCCCTGGGTTACTGTTTGCTCTGTGAGTGTGCTGTCCTTGATATAGACAGAGTAAATCCCGTTGTGATGCCAAAGCTTTGCCCAATAAATGCTAGACCTCATTGTACAATGTGCTTAGATAAATGTTATTTTGCAGATAGTTATGACATAGAAAATATGGTTGCACCTGAATGAAACATCTCTCCTCCCCATTCACTATTCAATACAAACCATTGATTAGCATCTACCTTTTCATTTATCATTTGGTACGAAATGATAACTCAGGAAACTACAACTTTGATTAAAAAAGATCTGAAATGTTGTGTTGGCTATGTGATAAACACAAATATTTTAGTTTACGGTACACAGACAATTTCTAAGTGACATTATATGTCGTTGGAGCCAATTTTGCAGTAACTGTAATGTAGTCCAGAGTAATGGTTAATTACAGGCTTTTGCATAGGTGTTTTTCTGAACAGCTATTATAATAGTATAGAATCTGATATTAATACACTTTTTCCATAAAAATCTATAGAACTTTTCTTGTAATTATCATACTCGATTTTTTTCGCTTTCCATTTTCCCATTTTTGACAACTGGACAATATTATACATTTAGAGGTATATTTATTTTCCTCAGAGAAAGATTATAAACCTGCTTGTTAACATAAAGAAGCTAAATAGGGATTTTTTGGTATCATTGTGTACTAAAATTTTTCCAAGTTGCAATTCCATGGGGAAGGGTTGCTCTTGCTGACACACTCATTCCCTTCGTGAGTGTTTAATGCGATTTGTCTTCAATTGTAAATTATTCTGTTCTGGCAAACAAGGAGATTTTAAAGAAAAGGGATCATATTATCAGCTGCGGCTTATATTTACTGAGAATTTGTAAATTGTAGGGAGGCAGTCAGAATCGAGTTATGCTACCTTTCATAACATTTTTTATTCTGCAGTTTCCAAACTTCTTTCTCAAAAATTTCAATGAATTTTCAGTTTAATCTTAGAAATTGCCAACTTAGATAATACTGAAATCTTTTCATGTAATGTATTTCGTTGACTGCATTATTCATGTTTTACTATTGTCATTAAATATGATTTATATATATAATGTTAATATTACTTATTTGTTTATTGGACAAATGTAACAAAGATTTTTCTAATAGAGATAAATTTGACATATTTCTATGAAAATTCTGGACTTAAAGGAAACTATTTTTTAGAAGAAAAGGAACAAGTGAAAATGTTTTTCCAGCATCTAATTTATACACCTTTCAAACATATATTTTTTACTATTAGAAGAATCTCTGACCCTCCTTATTTTTAAAATATTTTTAAATTACATTGCCCCGAGCAGTAGACATCTTAGAAAAACTTGAAATCATGGAAAGATCAACAAATTGCAACCTCGTCTGATAAAACAGCAGCATATTAATATTCATGTATTGTTAATTTTTATTTGGAATGGGATTTGATTTGTTAGTAGAAATAGTTAAAAAATACATCTAAAATATTTTTAATGTAACTTGTTTTTCCAAACTGATATGTATGTAGAACAGTAGTAGCATAAATATTTTCCGTTTGTATTGTAATAACACTATATATTTGTATGTGTTCAAAGACTAGTGTAAGAGACAAAGCTCTGACAAGATGTAGAAGAAAGAGGAGAAATATCTACAAGTCTATAAAATTTGTTAATTTTTATAGATGACGAATGGGAAATATTATTTCCTATTTCAAATTCTCCCCTCTCAAAAAAAAAATACATTATTGGGGTACATAAGGGACATTCTTTTTTAATGGAAGAAGTAATTGAATATAGGAAACAATGCTACTTTGTTATACTGATACAAGTGAGAAAGTCAAAGAAATAAAAGTGTTAAAACAGACTAAATCAATTTCTGAAATAGGGGCTTAATGACACCTACTGAGCACAGTGATTCCTTCATATCAGGTCTTCAATGATTGACAGAAAGATGCATCAGAGGAAATTCTTGTCATGTATGTAATCCTGATTCTTTTTCTCCTAAATATCCACTGTCCATAATTTATCAATATCATCATCTGAATGGGTAGTTCAAGTCAAAAGTGTGAAAAATCTTAGAACTTATAAACTGAAAACACACTACAATAAGAGATATATCTGGATGAATAACCATTGAACCAGATAAGGATTTGAATCAATTACACTGGAACAGGGTGCCCAGAGAAGTTATGGATGCCCCATACCTGGAAGTGTTCAAGGCGATATTTGAACAACCTGGTCTAGTGGAAGGTGTCCCTGCCAAAGGCAGGGGGGATGGAAGTAGTTGATCTTTCAGGTCCCTTGCATCCTAAACCATTCTAAAATTTGGTGGTCTTTGTTTATTTTTTTTTTTTTGGTGTATACTGTTATTTAAACTTGAACATCTTTTCCAAACAGAAAAACCATCAGGAAATTCTTTTTAGGAAGGTAATTACAGATTGCAGTTACCTGTGCATGGAGGGGAAAAACTAATCCTTATAAAAAAGGTATTTTCTTATTAGTGAAAAAAAAATAAAACTAACCAGAATTAAAGTCGGAGAGTGTTTTGCTTATTCCAACATCCTGGCAAACTGAAGGACCAAGGAAATCATGGCATGAAACACTGAAGAGAAAGAAATTGTAGACTTGAGAGTAGTAAGAATACTTTTTAAGGCCCAAGTTAAAGATTTTTTTCCTTGTAATAGTTAGTAAACAATGGTAACACAGAGCTTTATTAATCTTTCCTTTATATTATAGTATAAGAAATAAGTCCTTTCTAGACCATCACCCCCATATAAACAAACAAACAAAGACAACTCTACAAGACTAAACTTCCCTGGGGCTGACAATTACAGTTGTTTTGAAATTGGGAAATGAGTGTGGGTCAACATATAACTCTCATGACATCTTTAAAGAAGAAGAGTACACAACCCAGTCTAAAATAGAACAATCCAAGGTAAAAAAGTATCCAGAGTTATCATACATTAGTAATCTCACAAACACACCTGCATAAGTGTGGGTAGTTAAACAAACAATATATTCTATATTATTTTTAATAATTATTCTGAATAACTGTAATTTTTAATTTCATAAGCAGCTAATGGGAAGACATAATGGAAGGATTTAGTTAAAATAACAGCAATCAATCTTTATTCAAATTATGAATCAAAGCCAGATTTATGTCTTACTTTCAGTTAAAAAAAATGGTTAACTATCCCTCCTTTTTTAAAATATTTGCTTATTTATTTGTAAGTTCTGGATTGCAAGAGGAGTAAATAATGTCAAATCACAGAGAAATTCAAGTGCTGTTCATAAAAGTCTGAGGAAATATTAGTGGAAAACTCTGCTTTTGAACATTAACTTTTAACCTGACATTTAGAACCAGAAGTTTCAGGTGATGTTGTAGGATGAAATTAGTCATACTTCTTTCTGTGTTATTGTCAGATTTAAATTCAGGTCCTTAATTTTTTTTATGTTCACCTTTGTCTACCCTCAGATGCAATTCTCAGCAGTCTCTGTTGAACAATAACTACAACACCCAACAATGTGAGCTTTTGAACGTAACTTCTTGGCAACATTCCACTTCAAACTGAGGAAATGACTGAACCTCACTGGCATGATTTATTTGTGCTGAACCCAAGGCAAACACTAGTTGACTATTTAGGTCATTGCTTTGTAAAATACTGAAACATTTTAAATTTCTATCTAGTTTTCAAACAAAACAGTTGATTTATTAATGAGTTGTATGGAATTTGAGAGGGATGCTTTTTTATAGTTCTGGTATAATAAGATTTCAGCATCAGGTTTGCTTAGGAGTGAAAAATAAGAACTGCTCTAAATCAATGTCTGATTTTTACTTTGTAGTAAAATTAAAAAAGTTAATGAGTTCTGAACAGTATGGTCTTTTCCTCAAATCTTTAGTACAACAATTACTGGACAGAAAGCTCAAAAAGTTAAAAAAGACAGAAAGCTCAAAGCCACAACTTAAATGAGAAGCAAATTATTCTGATTTTTTATGATTTTTTTTTATTTAGGAAGAATAGTTCTGTGAGCCTTTTAAAAGCTTTCAAACAATTAATAACTATTCCGTGATGTGAATATGTAAATTGCTATATAAGCTATCTTGAATGATACCATATCTTGAGTCATATCATATGAATGCAAACAATATCATAATGCTATCACTGAGGAGCTGTATTCTACTTGTAAGTAGGACCAAAAATTTATGTGGATCAAGACATATCTGAATGCTTTCCTGACCAATTGTTCTTAAAGAAAAAGCAAACAAACAATAAAACAAACCCCATCAACTCCAAACCATGGGGGAAAAAATCCTACAAAAGAAACAGAAAATAATTCAGAAGGACAAAAATTTGTAGCTGCTTACATCGCATTTAAAAGCTGTAGCAGAATGTCAAAGTCTTGACTCTATATTTTTCTGAATATATGTCAGCAAAGAAGATGAAGCTGGAAATCTTCCTTTGCGGGTGTGATTCATAGTTTGGGAATTTTGGTACCCAGCTCAGAGCTGTTTGATTCTGCTTCTCAATAGGGGAGTAAGGCATAGTATTTTTCCCAGGCAACCAGTTTAATTATTGCCAGAGAGCTATTTTTCTTTTTCTTTAGCCAAGTATAGCGTTATTAGACTAATTAGCTTTACCAACAGGATTTGTCAACATTCTAGGCAGTTCTTTTGGATGGCAATTTCTCCTCCCTGAAGGTTTCATTGCATTCAAAAAATTGAGATAATACAGTACTTTTTTTGCTTCTCAAATTTCAGTCCCCCATCAGCCTGGCAACCACTATGAACTGGCATAAGAGATCCCTATGAGTGTCAAGAAACAATTTTTGCTCTGGGGGATGGAAAACAGGATTTTTGTTGTCTTATTTGGTATTTTATTTAAATGATTGTCTTGAAATAAGAAAGGATTGACTAAAAAGAATTCTTTCTCCATAAAACAAGTAGGGAATAATTTTCTTGGCACCTCATTTTGAGATGCTTATTTGGTGCCTTTTCACCATTCCTTTTTCAACGACTACCAAGACAAATGAACTAAATCCAAGGCACCCTCTAAAGGTCATTACCTTTGCATCTCAGCTGGTTTACACCTCTTGCTGTTTGGCTACATAATATCAACTGACAAAGCTGATGGCTGACCCCAGGTAAAGATTTATGAAAAGGCAAGTGTCCAGCATTGTTTGCTTTTCTTTGGTTCAGCGATCTGTTCCTGTGGTGATTTCCCCATAGTGTGCAAGAAAGAAGGTCACACAATTTCTCTCCATATTATCTGAGAGTCTAAAACTGTGTTCTAAGTTAATGGACTAATTCCACATTTAAGAAAAAAAAATATTGAAGGGGGATGCAGACTAAAGATCACTCAATGAAGAAACAGTTGCTGCCTTGAGGAAATGGGAAAAAATGCTTCAATGACATTAAATTTTGTAAAAGACAGACAAATATCTCAGCCACTGGCATACATTTCAGCATGAAGTAGATGGATGAGTAACGATACTCTGTCTCTAGAGAACAAACAAGCTGAAACGCTTAATTTTTTTTTCCTTTTATTCCAGTTTCAAAGGAGCTGGTTAAACATCTTACAGTTTCTATACATATAAAATACATCCATTTCTGTGCTACCCTCAAACACTTAGGAAAAACCCATAACCTAAAAAAATTATAACAGAGCAACTGAAACTGGTGCATAATAAAAAAGAACTTAACTGAAAATAAAATAAAGCACAAGGATAATTTTAATTATGAAAGTTCAACTAAAAGTGTACAGAACACTGAATTACAAAAAAATACCTCTATCCTCCTTGCTTTATAAAAGTAAACAGTAAATTTTTACAGACAGATGTACAGATTTTATAGAGTTAATGGAAATTTTAAAAAGGAAGACATCTGGGGAAATGATGCAGGCACAGCCCATCAGCAGCCGCCTCACCATCTGACAGACATGTTAGTTGTTAAGTTGCCAGTTGTCTACAGAACCTGCCAAGAGGCCAGATGCTACCATGGGTTAACACACAACAGAAATTGCTGCCCTAAGTGAAACACAGTTTAGCATAATGTCGTGTTGGTTAGAAAGCATAAATCTTCTTTATAGTTGAAAATTAAGGATTTTATTCAGAAGTACACTAACTACTAAACTTTGAAGATTAAGTCCTAAATTGTAGGTGAAATTATGAGTTTCATGAAATGTTCAAAGAGCACTGGGCTTTCTAATACTTTCTTGCAAAACATGTAGTCTGTCAATTTTATGGATAGATTTTAATTTAATTTATTGATTTAGGGATTTTGATGGGAATATCTCTAAATAGGGTGTTAAGAGATTGGAAAATTAGAGTAAATCATATAGAAGTTTGTAAATATCCAGAAATATTCACAGGAAGGTGGATGGGAGGTTGGCTTTATTACATGACTACTTTTGTAATGTAACACTGTATAACATATGGGTGTTTATATTGTGTATATGTGTGTGTGTGTATAGGGATACATAGATTATGTATGACTAGGATTAGGTCTGCTAAGATTCATTACTTCCTTACAACGTCCAAGAAAATTCTGTCATCTTCCTACTGTATTGGTCTCTAACTAGTGTCAACCAAAGGCACTTAACATCACCAAGTGGAGCTGGCAATAAAATGATTTTCCAAATTTCCAGACCTGGTGGTTCCTTCTCCAGGTTTAGTAAAGAAATCAGGAGACCTTTTTTTTTCCCCCAGTGTGCAGAGAGCTGTTTTCTCTGTTAAAGATTTATGGTATCCAAAATTATTCCAGCAACAAAATTTGTCTTCTGTTATCTCCTTCCAGGTTCACATTGACACCTTGTGGGGTTGTGATGAGGAGATAGAGAAAATACAGGGGGCACTGGAATTGGGCCATAGACTGTACCATTACCTAGCAACTCTCTTTTCAGGATCTTCTCAGGTTCATGGTTCTCTGGTAAAACAAACAAACAAACAAACAAACCAACAAACACCTTCCTTTTATAATTAGGAGAGATATAAATAGTTTTCTAAAAAAACCCACAGATTCTGAAGGGACCTGAACTGTAGGGGGAAACCCAAGCAGAAAGCGTTTATCAACCTAGCTAGATTAGGAGCATTCACTTCCTATTTCTAGAGACTAGTGATAAAGCAGTCTCTGTCAGCCACTTACAGTGGTAGAATCTGATCAAAGATGAGGTGCTGAGTGATGTCCTGCCAAATACAATATAAAAAAAATTCTATTTGGCAGGTTTCTTACTCAGGTTGTCCATTTCTTCCTGTAAGCAGAAGGTACATATTTTTCATTTGAATCTTGGAAAAAAATGAAAAGATATTGGTGATAAAGATGTGGATATAACGTGATACATAGTACAGATTTATATTTTTTCTAATATAATGTGTGAGATTAATGTAATCATGGATCATGAGGCAGAAACAGGACATGAGAATGCACTGGCATGGAAAGCTTGCATGGAAAACCATTTGGATTTGTGGTGTTGTGGGACCAATCATCAGTACACCCAAGAGGGATATCCAAAAGCATACATCTCTTGTCTGAATTTTGGACCACAGAAAACAGTTATGTGGGTGGAACTGTAAGCCCTTTCTTCAGTGAAGGAATAGAGAGCTTCTGTTCCTGAAACAAGCCATGCAATTCTTCCATGTGGTCAGCAGTATACTATTTTCGCATTGCTATTGAATAATAATAATTGCTATAATGTTAAGATTATGCTGATGTAACTACTCTGAAGTTAAGAAGAACATGTGGCTGATGATACCTAAATTATATTAAAAAAATTTTTATTTCTGACATGGTAGAAGGTAACGCCTGATTACATCACCAGAGGGAAAGAATTTCCGCAAAATCCAAAGTTCCTGAAAAAGGGTTAAAATTTTTTGATGTTGACATGCTTTTTCACATCAGAAAAAAAAAATGTGGAAAGCGATGAACACTACAGAGCAGTCACATGCCTAAAATAAATAGAGAGGAAATTGTCAACGAATTTTAACCCTTCCAATACAGTGGATAATTCTGGAGGTTCTGCAAATTGCTGCACCTTGTCTCACTCTTCTAGGGTGCCAGGAGTACAGCAGATTACAGCCAGTTTCTCTTCATCTTCTTGGTCATGTATGATCACAGTAAAGTATGTCACAAGGAAAGAAAGAAAAATAGCTCAGAGAAAAAAAAGAAAAAGAAAGCAAGCATTTCATTTCTAGCCAAAACAAATGATTTTGTCATCATAGATTACTGTTCTGTCATAAGAATTTCTTCCATTCAGATTCAGATGAGAGAGAACACTTCTGGCCTAGATTTGTAATTCAATAAAGGCAGCAGTGCCCCTTTCCAGTCCCTTGAGTTTGAATGAATTTTTCAGTACATTTTTAATAGTAGATTTTCACCCTAGATGAGCTACATCTTGTTTAATACAGGTGATTTTCTAGTTATGTTCAACAGAAATTTGTAGATAAAGCCCATGAAAGCTGTTTGATATTGACATCATGTTTTGTGTGTTTTGCTGACTCTGTAAAAATTGTTACAGCAGTTCACACAAGCACACTCTTGATGGGACAGCCATATGCTGGATATGGCACAGCAGAAAGTAAATGCTAGGCCAGATTCTCTCTTATGCTGAAACATGCACTCATCTGTGTCACTGGCAAATGATCCTTCTTTGATATTCCAGATTCACTAT